CGTTAAAAAAAAAAAAGAAGAAGAGCCCTAGAATATTGATTCACAATAAATTTGCATCAGCGAGTTTTGCGTTACAACACGGAAGTACTTGAACAATAGAATAATGCTGCTCTTCGCGTCTCACAAAAGCCCTGCCACGGTGGTCTATTGGCTAAAGTACTCGGCTGCTGACCCGCAGTCGCGCGCGATCGAATCCCATTGATTGATTGATTTGTGGTGTTTAACGTCCCAAAACCACCATACGATTATGAGAGACGCCGTAGTGGAGGGCTCCGGAAATTTCGACCACCTGGGGTTCTTTAACGTGCACCCAAATCTGAGCACACGGGCCTACAACATTTCCGCCTCCATCGGAAATGCAGCCGCCGCAGCCGGGATTCGAACCCACGACGTGCGGGTCAGCAGCCGAGTACCTTAGCCACTAGACCACCGCGGCGGGGCGCGATCAAATCCCAGCTGCGGCGGCCGCCTTCTCGATGGAGGCGGAAACGATGTAGGCCTTTGTGCTCAGATTTGGGTGCTCGTTGAAGAACCACATGTGATGGGAATTTCCGGAGCCCTCCACTACGGCGTCTTTCGTAATCATATGGTAATTTTCGGACGTTAAACACCGTGTATCAATTAAATGCGTCTCACAAAATGAAAACGATCGTCCCTTTGTAGGACCTTTCTCGGTAAGATGTTTCGTGTAGTCGATATTATTGTGTTTGTTTCAGTATTGAAGATTTGATTGATATGTGGGGTTTAACGTCCCAAAACCACCACGCGATTAGGAGAGACGCTTTAGTGGAGGGCTCCGGAAATTTCGACCACCTGGGATTCTTTAACGTGCACCCAAATATGAGCACACGGGCCTACAACATTTTCGCCTACATCGGAAATGCAGCCGCCGCAGCCGGGGATTCGATCCCGCGATTGTTTCTTTCAGTATAATGACGGGCAAAAGCATGATTTTCGAAGAACTTCATTACTAGCAATGGCAAATATTTTCACAGAGGTCATGCTCGGAGATGTTATTCTTTGCTTCCGTACATTTTGATTCAGAGTGGCACGAAAAAGAAGCGGCCAGACAGTGGAGCTCCGAATAAGTGAAGCTAACGCGTGGTTGGTGTAATGCGAGAAAAAAATGTAGAGAAGCCACACTGAGGTATAGGACCATGAAACAGGTAATTTGTCTTCTTTTGGAAGCAGCCCAATAGACGGAGCACCGGCGCATTGTTTACCTGGGGCATCGCGTTTCACGGTCCCAACTACAGAAGGCACCGATTGCTGGTTATCAACCCACCCGAACCTATAGTTAGAGATACCTTAATTGAACAATATTATATCTAAGTGGGGTATTTTTTAATGTTGTTCTCTTTTTTTACTTTCTCTCCTCTCCCCTTCCTTTTTAATTCGTAGTGTCGATACAAAATTGCTAGCCCCTCAGGGTGTCTTTCTGAGTCATATCTTTGTCGAATTGTCTACTGAATGGTATAAACGTTTTGTGTGTTTGCATATCTAATACATGTTTGTTATTGTCTCTGTGGAGCAGAATTCTATATAAATAGTCATCAAGGCAAACATTTTTGTCTTCCACCAAATACCCACTCGTCCGTGCATATGTATGTATGTATGTATGTAGTATGTATGTATGTATGTATGTATGTATGTATGTATGTATGTATGTATGTATGTATGTATGTATGTATGTATGTATGTATGTATGTATGTATGTATGTATGTATGTATGTTATGTATGTATGTATGTACGTACGTACGTACGTATGTATGTATGTATGTATGTATGTATGTATGTATGTAGTATGTATGTATGTATGTATGTATGTATGTATGTATGTATGTATGTATGTATGTATGTATGTATGTATGTATGTATGTATGTATGTATGTATGTACGTACGTACGTACGTACGTACGTACGTACGTACGTACGTACGTACGTATGTATGTATGTATGTATGTATGTATGTATGTATGTATGTATGTATGTATGTATGTATGTATGTATGTATGTATGTATGTACGTACGTACGTACGTACGTACGTACGTACGTACGTACGTATGTATGTATGTATTATGTATGTATGTATGTATGTATGTATGTATGTATGTATGTATGTATGTATGTAATGTGTGTATTTATGCATACATACACCCACATACAACTTACAGCTCTTCTTTGATTAATTGCATCGAGCCAGAGCATACCATTCCCGCAGTTGCTCGCGACGACGAACTTATCTGAACGCTTCCTACGGCGTCTCGAAAGTGGCCTTTCAGTTGTTCAAGCCTCGATCATCCTGCATGGTCTTTCAAGTGGACTGGCAGTTAGGCGCATCAACCGCTATTCGCGTTCTGTCATTAACCCTATGAACTTTCCCGAACAACGAAAAGAAAACGACGCTAGAACTCAAGGTCAGAGCAGGAAGGGCTTATCTCCCGAGCGTGCTTTGCCAAGTAACGTGTCTTATTGAGGAAATAAACAGGCTCCGTATGCGTGGTCACAAACAAGTCGCTGAACGCACACGCAGAAACTTACGGTCCGCAGCTAATCGCATGCCGTCGAAAAGCTGCGGCTTTCAAAAGCCGCGAGCATAACATGAACGCATGCGTAAGAGGGCATTTATTTTGGGTACGTAGAGCATACATGTCGTATATTTTTTATTTATTTATTTATTTATTTATTTATTTATTTATTTATTTATTTATTTATTATTTATTTACATACCCTAAGGACCTAGGAGGGCATTACATAGGGGGGATTAGGAAGATTTCCAACATGTGTAAGATACATTAAATGTTCAGAAGCATCATTATATAAAGCTTAAACGAAAAAAAAATGGGAAAAAAAGAGTACACACAACAGTGGTGATAAGAATAATAATAAAAAATAAAAAAACATATATATATATAAATTCTGCAGAAGAAAAGGTACGTTAATAAATATACAATAGGATCCAGGTAACAAGTGTTTTCATTATCTCATTATCTCATTCTCATTATCTATTCTTAAGTGCTGGTTTCCGGCATGTGTTCAAACAGGGGGAGCCCAATGGATGGATACAACTTTACTGAAAGTTCGTCAAGGTTTAACGCAACCCGAGATTAGGTCTCCCACGGAGTAACGTCAAGGTCATGCCTCAAGGCCGCCTCGCGAGCTTGCTGGACTAAACCCACGTTTGGATGCCCAGGTCTGAGCCGGCGCAGAGCGGTGGCGCAGCTTGACGACAGGGTCTCCAGAGTAACTGCCATCATACGGGCGGAGAGCTCAAAACGTCACTTTAATTAAATATACGCGTTTATATTCATGGGGCGTGTGAACGGACCGCATTACCGTAAATTAGAAGTGTGGAAGTTTGAGCTAGTTGGTATGACGTGACAATAGTTATAGCGCGAAAACTGAACGACGTCCTTCATGTCCTTCTTGTCTCTTTGTCATCGTTCAGTTCTCGCGCTATAGTCATTCCCGTAAAGAATTGACCATGATTGTCAGTTTAAGTGATTAGCCGAACGCATGGCTCTTTTCAATAATACATTAGCTGCTACGCTTGAAGGCTCACATTTGTTACAGTCGGAATATTTCGGTTGGATTCATTGTTTATTGCGTAATCACGTACAGAACAGAGCCGTTAATCAGCACCAATGTAGCTGTAGTATATAGTGCATAAGTATAGTACGCTTATACACTTTATATATGGCACAGTCAAACCTAATTATAAAAATATCAATTTTAACAATATATCGGTTGTAACAATGAGAAGCTGTTGCACCCATCTTGTAATGTTGGTTGCACCGTCACCTTTCCATGCTTTCTATAATGAAATAACTCAATAACCCGCTTAGAGCAATGCCGATATGCCGCATTATCCGTTACAACAACGAATTCTCGCTCTTGGGTGGCCGTACCGAGACGTAAGCTTTGAAGGGCCATCTCTAAGAAGAAAGAAGGAAATGATCAATTCAATCTGCTGAACCTCCACCCACAACCCCGGCACCCCATGTCCTTCGGAATGCATGGTATGCTATGCCGCAAATCGCCGTGGCACTGCGGCAAAGCTAACTTCTTGTCCCTTATGGCGCTGTAGCGGCGGTGGCTTCTGGTGCTATACTTTCAGACGTGAAATTTAAGTAAAAAGCTAATGCCTGGAAGAGTTCCGGCTTCCGAAACTTCTAACGTTATTCTAGATCGGCTTTATATAGCTTGTGGCAGTACCATGAAATTGTCAAAATTTTCAAACACGCCCGAAAAATTGGTAGCTTCTTCACCTTTATCACTGATGTCTTTTCACATACCTCATCTGCAATCATAGTTTCCTCACAACAGCCTGACATCCTCCAGCTTAGCTTTTTTTTTTACTCGTGCAACCCGTTCATGCCAATTATCGGCTATAGCAATGAAATTTTATTGGCACAGCCAAGTTGTCCGTCCGTCTGTCTGTCTGTCTGTCTGTCTGTCTGTCTGTCTGTCTGTCTGTCTGTCTGTCTGTCTGTCTGTCTGTCTGTCTGTCTGTCTGTCTGTCTGTCTGTCTGTCTGTCTGTCTGTCTAATTAATAGTTGTGTATTATCCATACCAGCAGTATGGATAAAAATGGGGATTTTTCCAGTAAGCTCCTAACATTACAGGTCGCCTTTCAATAGAGCGAAAGCGCTGATGTGGTAGTTCTTCCATGTTCATTCATCGCATCGCAATGACCCTGTGCTGCCGGCGCGATGACCACCAGGACGCAAGTGTGGCGCGCTTGACGTCACGTGATCCACTGCGGAGAGGTGTCGCAACTGTGCTCGCTCGAAGTCTCGACGGTATGGCACCACGTGACCAGGCTTTTAAGCAAGGCGGTGTACTGAAAAACCAAGCCACACTTACCCTTCGATCGTGACAGTGAGGATTACAAGTGTTCAACTTCAGCCAATTTTATTACTTTTTTATTCGAATTGTTTGTTGCGACGCCTGGTGTACTTGCAACAAGAAATATTGTTTGACTACTCTTTGCTGCAGCACACAACACCGTGGCTCTGGCGGAAGGAGCACGACCTGGCCTTAATCGAACTGAATGCTCCCGTCCTGGAATCCGAGTCCGTGCAGCCAGTGTGTTTACCGGTTGATACCGACTACTGGCCGGCCAAGGGAACGCTATGCCGGGTCGCTGGCTGGGGAGTCACCCTGGACCGTAAGTTGAAACGGCGGCCCCAACACGCGGGATTCCATATTACAATCAAAGGTTTCTGGCACCCACACCCTAGAATGTGCATTGTCGTTTTTCAACTTGGAAGGCGCGTGATTTTTATGTTTTGAACCCTGAAAGTGAAGCCGCACTTTTGTCATCTTAGTAGTTCTGACGTCCCTTGAAGACGTCAGTAAAGATGCCGTGTAATGAGGTCATATGATATGACATCTCGGTGAGAAGTGTCAATGGAGCATGTTGTGAACACCGACTGGGAGACGGAAAGCTGAAACAGCTTGGAGGGGAGTGGCATTAGTGTAACCACAGGGAGAGAGTGTTTGGGGGTCGACCCCCCCCCCCCTCCCGTGCTGCAGAAGTTCGAATCACTTACATTTTGTATGTGTATATGTACACGCACACACACAATTCCATGCATGAACTTACATAAAATGTAACTGAACCAATCCACTCCTCCCTCCCATCCACCGAAAAGATTTCGGGCTTCGCACTTGAACGGGTCAGAGGGATGCACTGCAATTCGTTGAAGACAACGCCCATGAAATTTATTGAGAGTGTAAAGCTTTCGACTGTTCTCTCATTGCCTATTAACTAATGTGGCTGTGAATTTTGGACACTTCCTGCTCTTGTAGACACCGTTGTGGATGAACGTAAACTTGTGATACGAGCACCGTTCGCGCAACACCCGAGGTTCAAACATTTCACAACTTCTTGTTCGCGTTCTCTTTCAGCGACCCAGAGCCGCCATTTCCTGCGGGAGGTGGCGCTTCCCGTAGTGGACCGCAAGCAGTGTCAGGCCTGGTTCGCGGACCGCGAGATCGGACAGACGCAATTGTGCGCGGGCTACGAGCGCGGCGCTCGGGATGCCTGCACGGTGAGGCGCGCATGACATTGCCTCGGAGATGCTGTGACCGATTTCGTTTCATTGTTTCCGAATCACTGGATCCTCCGTGTGCATGGTGCAAAACAGCGTGCATGGTACTGAGTGTGCAAGATTTGTTCTTATGTGTACCGAACATTTTACTATTTACTTTGCTATGTTGCTGAGGCGCGCTGTATAATCATTGACATATCTCAGCCTCTGCAACTTCTGCCTTTACAGTGCAACTGTACAATGTCAATTTGTTCCAGATAAGAACATTTCCTTACTTTATTTTGTATATTATTCACCTTTACAACACTAACTGTTGATGTTTCAATTCTCAAAACCATTATAATGATAATGAGAGACGCGGTAGAGAATAGCTCCTGAAAGTTTGAGCACCCGGGGTTTTTCAACGTGCACCTAAGTATAAGTGGACCTCTAGTATTTCGCATCCATCTAAATGAGGCCATCGCGACAGGGAATCGGTCCCGCAACCTTCAATTGGGCAGTTGTGTATATAGCGCGACCATTGTAGCACACCGTGGCTGCATTCACTGTCACGTAATGTGATGGTTCATTTCCGGTATACTCTTCGAAGCGAGCGTGTTCATGCACGTGTGACTTAGAAGTGTGGCAGCTTGGGCTAGTTGGTATGACATGATGATAGTTATAGCGCGAGAACACAACGAACACACAGAGACAAGATTCCTTCGCGTCCTTCTTGTCTCTGTGTTCGTTCTGTTCTCGCGCTATAACTATCGTCATGCGCGTGTGTGTGGCCATGTCCCAGTTACGGAACATCGAGGGATTCTACAGCGACCATACTTTACGCGCTTCCAATCACACCTGGTGTAACGTTGACCTCATAAGTGACAACAACGACAACAAAGACGGCAGCAGCATGCACCTGTACTGCAACACAATTATTTGCGAATGTGACGCCAGTCCGCTTGACTAATGACAACTGAGAAGCGTTATGAAATGTGTATTCACGCCTATAATCTAGAAAAGAGAGCGGTGAACAAACAGGTGGGCGTTCAGAATAAATGATTTACAGATCAAATGATTCACTTCTCTGCTACAATGCATGAGCGCAAGGCGCATGTATTACTGCAATCCACAAGTGAGCTATAGCTTCGCTATAAAACTTACCCCGTTTCCACTCAGTGTGACATCTTCATAAGCAGCCTATAGTGGTGATTCTCATATGTTTCACTTGAGATTGTCAGCCTTTTGTGTGTGTGTGTGTGGGGGGGGGTGTATTGTGATTTTGTGTGGGTGTCTGTGATTAGGTTATTTGTAGACTAGAGGGAAACTGCAAAGGACTTATGGCAACCCATGCCACTACCACCGCTACTACTTTAGACAATATTCGCGTTCGATGCGCCCTTCACTGTGTGGCTACCACTCCACGCTTCATCCATGAGCGAGACTGTTACGCCATCTATAGACATATCGCAGAACCATAGCATGACTACCTTTGACACTCATCTGTCGCTTAGCTCAGCCCCAGAACAGCTTCGCTTTTAGGAGCGTCGTGCCTTTTAACAGGCAAAAAAAAAAAAGATCAAGCAATATTTTAACGCCCTCCTTTTCTTTCAGGGTGACAGTGGAGGACCCCTGGTGACGAGAAACGGAAGCCAGTGGATACTGGTGGGGGTCGTCTCCACCGGAGTCGGATGCGCCAAGCCGCGTCAGCCGGGTATCTACACGGCCGTGGCTCCGTACCTGTCTTGGATTAGTGAGGAGACCGGACTGTGACTAACACCTGCCCGCATCTATTCTATGCAATGACTTGGGAATTTCGTTGAAACCGTGTGCTCAATAATGTGCCCTAGTGGATATTGCGACATGAGTCACGCGATTGTGAATGCCGATAAAAAAAAAACTGATAATCACATGTCTTGTAGATGCATGCGTGTGAATTTCGTGACATCAATTGTACATTGGTGGAACTATGGCATGCGGTTAATGTCGGATACTACTTCAGAAAACTGCTTGGGTAGTTGGTAGGAGTATTACAAGTACAGTCGGTTACAACGTTATAGAAGTCAGCGGCATTTCCTCCTCAAAGGCGGATGCACAAAGTCCTCTATCGATCATCGTGTACTCCAGACTGACGTCATCAGAAGAACGGCCATTGACTCCGCCTGCACTGCAGAGAACGTTGCCAAGATCAAGAGCGAGATCATTTCTTTAGTCGCTGAGGTGAACGGCTGCCGCGATTCGGTCGTCTGGGCGGTGCCTCCCCTGACTTTTTAAGTTGCACCCAAATATAGCACACTGGCTTAGCTAAGAAAGTCCATAATTAGAAGAAGTGCCAAAGGCTAAGTAATGAAAGACGAAGCGACTACTTCTTCAATGTGTACGTTTTCGTAGTTACGCTGAGGTGCTATTCGCAGTACCCAATGAACTTGACCAACTACAAATTTTACTACTCAATGGCGTACCGTCTTAAAACCCACAGTGTTACAGACTTTCTCACAGCAGAGAAATAAAAAAACGCCACCACGCTGGTTTGCACGCGGGAGCACAAAAGTTGACGTTACAGCCTTCGTAGTGCATTTTAGGGGGGGGGGGGGACTCACACGTATTTAGAACGACCCAGAGACTATAATGGCGGCGCCCAGGAGCCATATCTGAAAATTACACCATCTCTCACTAAAGAAAACCACAAGTAGCATGCGAAGGGACCGTATGCACAGCGAGAGGGATCACACGCACCTTCATATTTAAAAGCCTCTGCACGCCGAAGGTAGGATGCACCGGAATCATTTTGAGTATGCCGAGTATATGCGTGGGCATGGCTATCCTTCAGAGGGGGGGGGGGGGAGCATATTTGCAATGACTATACCCCTCCCATTCCCGTTAGTTGGTCAAGTCCTAAAGTAAACAAGTTTTCCATTGCGTGCAAAAGGGAAAAAAAAAAGCTCTCACACTACACGAGATGTATGGATGAATGACAAGCCAAGAGCCCCAATGTGCTACGCACTTAAAACATGCTATGCACTTTAAACAGCACAGTGCGTGCACCGCGGCGACGTGGAAATTTGCTCTTTATTTCCGCAGAGAGCCAGCAACGCATCCCCACAAGATATAACCGCGCAAGCACTGCAGCATGAGCGCGTTGCGAAGAACGACGAACAGGTCGTTACAAAACGAAGAAGCTGGTTGAGCGCACGCTTGAGAGGAACGTTAAGAGAGCCAAACTTATCAACTTATCAAACTTATCAACTTATCAAACTTATTACATCAGCACTCGGCATGCTCTATCCTCGCGATCTGCCGGAACCGCCGGGCAGGAACGCAGCCGGGATTTTTTTTTTTAGGGGGGGGGGGGGCAAGGTTCAACTGTTTTATTTATTTATTTATTTATTTATTTATTTATTTATTTATTTATGAATACTGCAACCATAACATAGGGTTTTGGCAGGGTGGATATACATTTGATAAGTTTACAAGTCGGCAAACAAATAAGTATAAAACAGGTAAGGCATTTACACACTTTCGGAACGAAAAAAAAAACAGTGGTTTGTAATAAACCGGCATAAGAACATGTAGAGAAATGAGCGCTAAATTCAAGATGATCACAAGTGGAGAACGGTTACAGTGATTGAAATAAACAACAGGAGCACATGTCACAGAAATTAGACACTCGCTGCTATAGAGCTGCGCAGCAAAAAGGTTCAAGGATGACTGGGAAACAACTTCGTTACTAAGGTTATACCATTCGGTAATTGTCCTAGGGAAGAACGAATACTTGAATGTGTTATTAGAATGTGTTATTAGAATGTGTTAAAGAAAGACCTTTCATGGCAAACAGAGAGAAGTGGCCCGGGAATATATAAGATGCTTAATTATGGAAAGAAAATGATTACAAGGTGGAATGCAGCACAAGAGGCGAGTTAATCAGCGATGGCCAATCCTGCTGTGGCACTCTCCAACCAGATGAGGATTGGCCACACTGATGAGTACTTGGCCACTACCTCCCATGAATACAGCAATTAACCCTTGGCCCTCAGTCCCGACTCCCCAGCGGCCGCGAAGCATCTGTACGAGGCGGGCGGAGGGTGCTAAGAATCTCTGGGTCTGGACAGACCGCCATTGGATTCTGAGTTTTGTTACGTTCAACGCTAGAACGCTATCAAGCGAGGCTAATCTAGCTGTGCTATTCAAGGAATTACGGGTGTTAATTGGGATCTAATAGGGCTTAGCAAATTTAGGAGGCCAAGTGAGGCTTTACAGTGCTGAAAAATGGAAACGCCTTTATGATACCGTGGATTAGTTCACAGAAAAGAATTAGAGGAGGGGTTTCTTATGCATAAGAATCTCGCTGGTAACATAGAGAAATACCATAGCATCAGTCAGAGGGTGGCAAGTATTATGTTTAACAAAGGGTACAAGATGAAGGTGATACAGGCATGCGCGCCTGCATCAAGCCATCATGATCATACGGTTCAACGCTTCTATAAAGACACAGGTATACTATTCTGACGGGCATCTTCCCTGCCAAAGCAGGCAAGAAACAGGTGGGATACCGTGCAGTGGGGGGATATGGCATCGGCTCTATAGGAGTGCCAGAATGGCATCGGCTCTATAGGAGTGCTCTATAGTAGAGTTCTGTTGACCCAAGGCCCAAAAATTGAAAACTAGCGTGAGTGCCCGAATCGTCTTGCGTCGCGAGCTAGATGACGTAGACGCAACTCATACACTACGATCCAGTATGATCCACGTCTCACACAATGTTAACTTGCCCACGTGTGGCGTCCCAGGCGTTTGACCCGACGCATCCTGCGCTTGACCCAAGAAGGTTTGCTTGACCCAATTCTCAAACTCTGTTGATCCTCCGAACGCAAGAGCAATCGCCGGCAACGCACTTTGGTGACCCAGTGTCTTGGGCACTCAATTCTCAAACTTCTAGCCCACATCTCTTAGAGAAGTCCAGATCCGTACGAGAGATTCTCTAACAGGTTTCGTTCGAAACTCTGATACTTTCACTCAGTTAATGCAACTTGTTGGCGTAATAAGGAATTGAAGTTTGTATTTTCTGCCTGAGGTATACGTTTTGGTTGAGACTGATGACAGGGTGATAGAGAATAACTTAGCTGAACGCTCAAGTTTTTTGTCTGAAACTAGTGACGTGAACATGTACTTGTACGGTGAACTGTGACTCTTTAAAAGGGGTGATGGAGTGGCATCTAGAGAAACCACAACTCAATCCATAAGATTTTATGTTCTCCATAGTAGGGTACCTGGTACTTTCTTTGAACGCACATGTAAGCGGGTAGCCTTTCTAGTTCTGCGCGACGATGACCCCACAGAGACGGCTTAAATTTTGTCGACACGGCCTCATCGAGTGTGAGGCCTACGGGTCTGCATTATGCTGTTCCGTAGTAAAGTACCAAGTACTCTAAATCATTAACAACTTTTCCTAAACACACATAGCATCCTCAAGTGTCAGGACCATGGTATACGGCTTTGTGCTCTCCCATAGTAGAGTATACCAGCTACTCTAAATCGTTAACCTTTTTTTTTTCTAAACACACCGCGTTCGCAATTCGTTCTCAACACAGTGCCCGACTCGCTCCTTACAACTCAAAGTTTGCTACCCTATTTAAGGGGACACTAAGTTCAAATAACAATTTACGTCAGGGTGGAAGCTCTATGTTTGACAATGGCTAAAATGACAGTATTGTCAACAGCAGTGCCATACTTACCGAGAAATTTAAGTAAATGCGCGAGAACACATGTGCTACGCATAGGCCATTCTCAAAACGATCCCGATGACGTGAAAGGTACCGCCTATAATTAATCACTAGTAATCGAAGTATAACTGCACTAAATGAAGAACCTTCCGTGCAAGAGACGTAATAACATGCTGCTTATTCGTATTCCGTTTGATTCATGAAAAAAAGAACCGCCGGACTTTACTACGGGAAAGGACGCTATTGTGGTTCAAAGATTCAATTTAGCCTGGTTAAACTGGACAGGTCGTGCCGTCTAGCAGAACCCAGTTGAACCAAATACGTCTGCCATCTCGCAGGCCATACCAGGAAAATTGTTCAATGGCCGTTGTTGCTGCTGTGGCTCCCGGTACTTTCATTCTGCTGCTACTATAGGGTCGGTGACCAAGCAGGCCACGAAGTAAACAGAAGTGGTTATAAGAGAGAAAAGAAGAGAAAAGTGAACCCCGTAACTGTCTGCATCAGGGTGCGACACCACAACAGAAGCTCACAAAGATAGGGGTGAGAAGGGAATAAAAGAATAGGATTAAAGTATAAATAAATATATATATATATATATATATATATATATATATATATATATATATATATATATATAGAGAGAGAGAGAGAGAGATGAGAGAGAGAGAGAGAGAGAGAGAGAGATGCGCTGTGCCGGCGAGCAAGGACATATGAGAGATAGGAGAGATAGGAAAGATGGAAACACGGTCACAGGAGTCCGAGGACGGGGCACCACTTGCGAGAGCTCTTGTCGGCGTCAGGAGATGGCGTAAGGCAAGTCCAGTAGGTCAGAGCTACGCTGTCGTCGGAGATCGGCGTCAGGAGATGAGGTAGGCCAGCCCAGTCGGCCAGAGCTACGCTGACGTCGGAGATCGCGAGGGCACAACCGGTCGGCACGGAATCCAGCGAGCGAGTGCACGCTGTAAAGCCTGAGATAGTTGTGCAAGGCAACAGTGGCGTTACACGTTCCGCTTGAGGCGGGTAAGGTCCACAACGAACCATTCTTCAATCCTAAACACACACACACACACACAAACACACACACACACGCGCGCGCGCGCACACACACACACACAAACACACACACACACACACACACACACACGCACGCACGCACACAGAGAAAACCGACTGGCAGGCTACTTGGTATTGGTACCTACTT